AAAGGAGGGAGAGAGGAGAGAAAGGAGGGAGAGAGGAGAGAAAGGAGGGAGAGAGGAGAGAAAGGAGGGAGAGAGGAGAGAAAGGAGGGAGAGAGGAGAGAAAGGAGGGAGAGAGGAGAGAAAGGAGGGAGAGAGGAGAGAAAGGAGGGAGAGAGGAGAGAAAAGAGGCAGATGATGATGATGATAGCTTATATGTGCACGTATATGCATGAGAGTGTGCTAACTGTCAGTCAGTCTGTCTGTCATTGTTCTTCAGTCAGTCATGCAGAGCCGTTGCAGACAATACACTGGCAGCCAGCACGCTGGTCTCAGAATGCTGATACCAATATCTTTGGTCGGCTGAACCAGTCAGTACACAGCCAACGTTGATGGTAGTGTCATTATCCTCCAGGTCAAGGCCTCGTTTTAAAACACAGTCTAGTCCCTGGAGAAACCACGAGTAATCTTGTATTGGAGCGAAGGGGAGGCACTATGTACTTAGCACCTGACGTAGGTGTAACGAGTTGCCGTCCTAATCCCACCTAGAGCAAGGATTCCGTCGAAGTTCACCAATCGGTGATCGAACCTCACCAGCCTCACGTTAAACATCCCTCCCCAAACACACACACCGTCCGAAATTGCATTTGAAAGTCACATTGTTTGCCGTGCGAGGGACAGCGAGGCACAACTCTCCCGCTTCAACACAAACGCGCGGACACTACTTGTAGCGACGCGTCTTGCTGTCGTCGCCGCGGCAACGAGCGGATGCTACTTGTAGCGATGCGTCTCGCTGTCGTCGCCGCGGCAACGCGCGAACGCTACTTGTAGCGACACGTCTTGCTGTTGTCACCGCGGCAACGCGGGCAGTACCACCTTCCCTTCGGCTTCGACACGAGTTTCACGCAGGAGAAGTGGAACCACTCGATGGGGCAATGCTCATAGTCGCACCCGACCATCTCGCCGAACGACACCTGCTGGCAGAGGCAGTACACCGGTTCATTCGGATCGATCGCCTCTGCGACGGGGGAGTCCGGCGTCCTCTCCTTCTCCACCTTCGTCTTCCGCTTCTTCTTCTTCGGCCGCAGCTTCTCCTCGACGACGACGGGAGCGGCGACGACCTCTAGCGGGACGACGACGTCGCGCAATATGGCGGCGGTGTCTGGTTTCGCGCGGCGGGAGCGCTTCAGGGATGCCTTGTCACGGCTGATCGGGACGACGTAGGTGGCGCCACGCTCCTCAGGCTGCTGACGGGCGACGTCCGACTTCTCCTCCGGCTTGCCCATCTCTGCAACGCATGCGGTCGAGAGAGATGATTGTGGGTGATACAGATATAGAGCGAGAGAGAGACGAAGAGAGAGAGAGAGAGAGAGAGAGGAGGTAGAGAGAGAGAGAGAGGAGAGAGAGAGAGGAGAGAGAGAGAGAGAAGAGAGAGAGGAGTAGAGCAGAGAGAGGAGAGATGAGAGAGAGAGCGAGAGAGCGAGAAGAGAGGTAGAAGAGAGAGAGAGAGGAGAGAGGAAGAGAGAGAAAGAAAAGAGAGAGAGAGGTAGAGAAAGAGAGAGAGAGAGAGAGAGAGAGAGAGAGAAGAGAGAGAGAGAGAGAGAGAGAGAGAGAGAGAGAGAGAGAGAAAGGAGAGAGAGAAGAGAAGATGATCTTGCATTAAGTATAGATGTATAGCACCGTAGTTGTGGCCACTCCATAGTTACAGACACTAGTATGTTGACATTAATTCCGGGGGGGCGAAGGCGCACAGTGCTGAGAGAGAACGAAACGGATGGGGGGGGAAGGACTTGTTTTTGTGTGTGATCGTTAAGCCTATATATAGCTAGTGTTTATAGGGCACCATGGTGGTAGGGTGCTGGCAGCCGGCAGAGAGAGTATGACGGAGAGAGAGGAGAGAGTATGAGATAGATGAGAGGAGAGTAGAGTAGAGTAGAGTAGTAGAGAGAGAGGAGAGAGATGTATGAGATGAGAGCGAGTAGAGTGATGAGAGAGAAGAGAGAGAGAGAGAGAAAGTAGAGGAGATGAGAGCGATGGATGCGATGTGGATATATCATAGCTTAAATACTGTGGTCGGGCATGTTAGGCAACGGGCGGTCGAGTGAGCTAAGGGGCTGAGTTTGTGGCGGCAGCGAGTCGGGGCAGAGCGCGAATGAAGATAATCATGAACACGCGCATTCCTGAAGATATGATAAGAAGGTTGCTATATGTTGGTGGGTAGAACTAGTCGCTACACTAGTTCTACCCACATGGTACGTAGACACGGATGCAATATGAATGTATGATTTAATACCGCAGGACATGACAGGTGTCATGCTGACAGAGTTAGGCATGAACAGTACGCTACTATGTAGTTAGCAGGCATTAGGCAGTGTTACGAGGTGGTTAGCAGTGTTACAGCTACATACAGTAGTTTACTGACTGTGTTTAGCGAGGTGTTAGCATGTGTTACAGGGCTAGCACAGTAGTTAGCTTATGTGTTACGTGTTACAGTGGTTTATAACAGCTACCAACAGTAGTTAAGGCGTGATGTGTTACGAGGTGTACAGGTGTTACTTAGCTAGCAACAGCAGTTAGCTTATGATGTGTGAGGCAGTGTTTACAGCTACAACAAGTCCTGTAGGTTAGCTATGTAACAGTAGTAAGTGTGTTGCCGCATGCAGTGAGTTTACTGCAGTAAAAGTTTTAGGAAAGAATTGCGCATAGTGGATTATTCGGCTCGATTAGCGATCAAGGGCTTATCGCTGGCCAACACAGATGATCTGGCTATGCACATCGATCATATTGCGGGGTTTTGTAGAGTTGAATGTTATATGGGGCGATCTCTGTCATAGGCGCTCTCTGGGTGTAACAGATACTAGCGGGCTGTATTGAGCTGTGGCCTTTAGCGATGAAGTGCTATTGTGATTGCTTTTTATAGAGTAAATGACTTTATTGTGGTCATTTATTATTTTTTGTGTCATGTATATACTATTAATGGAGGAAGTTCATAAGGAGAGCTGGCTTGAATATGTATGGTAATGCCATTTTAGCACAGCGAATGACCGTGCGTATAAAGCCAATATGTGCCAGTCGGCAAAGGGCGGCTAATTTCTCCCAGGTACTAGCGCTAGCAGAGTTACTTGCGTCGTCGATGGGGCATAATCACAGCGCAGGGCGGTCGGCGTTTATGAGGCAAATATGAGAAGTTAGTTCTCTGCCGCCATTTCTAGCGCGGCGGTGTTGGCTTAAATGGCCAGCAAGAAGGGTGCGATAATGGATCTGGCAGTATGCTGGGCGGGCGGCCAAACGGCCAAGATTGTTTGGGGTCCGGGTCAACCATGTTAGGCGGGCCGCGTAGATCAGAGCGGTTAGGTGAACGTGGCAGCATGTTGCCGCAGAGTGTTGCAGGGTCGCCGCTGTAATGGTTGGCCTTGGCAGGCAAGCGTGAAGGCGGTGTCTAACAAGTAGTGCGGAATTTTGAACTAATATTGGGAGTGATTTTTCAATAAGCGGCTTTTGATAAGACAACGCGCAGTGAGAATAGGGAAGGAAGTGAGTGTTATTTTGTGCGATAAGTAGTATGATTGAGTCGCATCGACGAGGTAGTATTTGCTAGTCTAGGGTACTCGAGAAATTAGGCTATTTGGATGGGGCGCATATTGCGGGCTCTTAAGAAATACTGTCTGGG